AAAAAAAAAATAAAAAGAGGCAGTGGGTCCCGTGGAGGCCAGGCTGCCTGTCCCTCAGTTCCTCAGCCCAGCACAGCAGGGAGCCAGTCTCTGCAGCCAGATGCCTCAAGATTAGGGAAGAGTTAACAGGCCACAGTTCCAAGCTCAGCAGTCAGTCCGGGCTGGGAGGAAGAAAAACCAGGGAAACCAATTACCTGTCTTGCGGTGAGCTTGATCAGGGACCCTTCATAGCCCTGTGGAGAGAGGTGGCTGTTATGGGAAGGTCAGACGCCTTTGCTGTGCTAACCCAGCACTGCCCCCATTGGCCCTACCTTTCCTCAGCGCTCCCTTGAATTACTCTCACCCTCCTCCCCGCAGGGGCAACCCACCCTGACCTCCAGCACCCCATGTTCTCAGCCACGTGGTCCAGCACACTGGCTGGCGTGACGCGGCAGCACTCATCATTTCATGCGTAAACTCCGGTTTGCTCCACTCACTTGTAATCCCGGAGCACAGACCCTACAAGTTTTCTCATCTGCAAACTGAAAAGGCTACACTGAATCTCAAAGATTCCTTATATGGCCACGTCTATTTAAAGAGCCCTTATTGTCTTTACAGACAAGGAAACAGGCCCAGGAGGGCTAAGCGGGTGGCAGAGGCATGTGAATCAGCACAACCAGGACAGAGCGCCAGGCCCATGCGCGGTTACTGATTCACTTTCCCGCATCTTCCTGCTGCCCCTTTGGGGTTAGAGATTCACCCCTGTTGCTTCTCTCCAGCCCTAGGCTACACCCTGAGGGCGGCCAGGTCCTGACTCACCTTGAATGGCCGGAAGAGCAGGTAGAGTTCTCTGGGTTTAATGTCCACAGGGAGGCCGCTGACGAACAGCGTCCGGACCTGGGGACAGAGACCATAGTGGTCAGGGCCAGGCTGGATAGGAAGGACGGGGTGGACGGCTCTTCCTTCAGGCAGGCGACTGGAATCCTCCTAGAGCTTAGGGAGGAATTCAGTATTTCCTGGGCCTTTGGACACCGAGGCAAATGAATAACAGTTTCACAGCACTGAACTTTCCAAAGCCCTCCGAGCGCCTCCCTTCCTCTAGGTTCACCCTGGAGGTGTCGCTCAGCAAGCATCTGTCTCTCGCACAGATGCAGGCAAACAGGCAAGATGGGAGAGCCCGCCCTGTTTAACGAGTGTACAGGTCAAGCATGATGCTTGTTCAGATGAGGGACCCCTTGGAGAATCTGAAGAAAGCTACAGTGCCTTTCCCTAAAAAAGAAAAAATGCACATATAAAAATGTACATTTTTTTCAGATGAAACCCATGGACTCCTGGTTGAGAGGCTCTGTCTGGTCTTGGGGACAAGCCAAGCAAGGCCATAAAGGGAACATGAGTGCTGTGCCACACTATGCCCTGGCAGGATTTCAACAGAGGGCCCAGAATTTTCTCCTCCATCTCTTCCTACACTAGGCCCTTCGACGGCAGAGAACATACTATATTCTTGCCTGTATGCACAGCTCCTAGCACGGTGACGGTACTAAACAGGGAATGGGTAAGGAGTCAGAAATGGAACACTTCTGCTGGGTTTTGAAGAACAAGTAAGATCTTGCCAGCTTCATGCCAGGCAGATGATGCTGTGAGTTATGAGCCTTACCCTCAACATCGTTGCAAGGTGGTGGCAAAGCCAGGTCTAAACACCGGGTGTCTATCCTGTGACTCCTGCCAAACCTGACCTCCTGAACTGCAGGTGAGGTCCAGGAGAGAGGGCTGGCAGAACCACTTACCTAATTTACTGCTGCTATTTAAATGCTGCTGACACCCGATGGCCGCCTCGATCAGCCAATAATTGTGATGGGGAGGGGAGATTTTCCATAGTTTAAATCCATTCAAAACACATTTTGAAACCATGGCTTCCTGAATAATGAAAAATCTGAACGAGTAGAGCTTCCCTACACACTAGACTCCTGTTTGGGGCCACATCTCACACTGCTAAGCCAAGCATAGGTCTCAACTCCCCACTGCAGATTTAAGAAAAAGTTCACGAGCCCGACTCCATCACATGGCCACTCCTGAAAGCATTTAGTTGCCCGCAGTGGGTCACATCCCTCTCTAGGGGGACCAGAGAACCTGCTTCGCATTCTAGTGATGGCCTGTTGAACACAGGCAACAGCCTTTTTGAGACGGCGGTTTGTATCAGGAATCTGGGGCGGTGTTAGGCAAAATTACACACAACACACAAGGAGATCTCAACAGAACCAAGAATTTGTCAAAGGAAACCAACCAAGATAGCTGCAGGTTACCGGTGTCACCGCCGCCACCCACACAAGAACAACCCCTCTTCTTCCTTCGTGTAATTTTTGCCAAGCACACCCAGCAGAATCTCTGGCCACTTAGGACACGTCCTCCCCCTTTGGTCAAGGCTTTCCCTCCACCAGACAACATTTACCAGCGTCTGCTCCCAGGCCTGGGATGACGGCTCTTCACATTTCACAGCCCTCGGCAGCCCTGTGCCCCTGTATACACAAGTCATGTCCTGTTCCTGGCAGCGCCTAGGAGAACCAGACAGCTGAGGTTCCAGGGTGGGCTAAACCGAGCTCCTGGACTCTAGAACGCAACAGCCCCAACCCCCAACAGCCCCTTTGCCCTTTGATGTAAGGGCCTTGAACTGTACATGGAAATCCCCAAACAGAAGTGACCTGCCCAAGCTCACATGCTTGTTCTTTAAAGGCAGCAGACCTGGGACTCAAAACCCAGGCCTCCCTCCTACTCATCCAGCCTGGCAGAAGTGACACCTGCCAGGAAAGCACGGCAGGACCTGAGCACCCAGCCCTCAGGGTAGCGCAGGGTCTACCCCGTACCACACCCCTAGAGGATGGGCTGGAAGAGCATGAGCTGCCAGGGCCCTGCTGGGGGGGCCTAGATCAGTACTCCTCCTCCCTTCTCTCTCCTCCCCCGGATGGCAGGACCTGATTTGGGTCAAAGACCTAGCACCAGAGCAGCCCCACAGAAACCTCTGCTTCAGTTCTCCCCAGGGGCCACACATTGTACCCAGGCTAATTTTAAACCCTTCCTCAAATGGCTCCTTTCTGGCCAGACCTCCCCAGAGGCCCCCTTCCACAGCAAGTTCTCAGCACAGTTTCCTGCTCGGGATGGGGATGGGGATGAGGAGAGGGGATCATTCCTTAGCCCCAGCTCAGATCTTGCTTCCAGCCTCCCCCCACAAGCCCCACCTGATGACCCTTTTCCTTGGGTTTCCATCTTTGAGGTTCTGAAGTGTCCAAAAGGTACACTGTGGCTTCCATCCTGTCCCTGGCTACCTCTCAGGAAACACGCGGAGGTCAAGGCGGTTATGGACTAGGTGGTGGGTCCCTGTCTGTGGGGAATTGGGGAGACTAAGTCACAGCAAGTCTGACCTGAATGTTCTCCGTGGTTCTTACCTCTACCAGATGATGCCCCTTCTGCCTATGCCCTTGTGTAGACAAGGAAACTGAGGCCCAAAAAGGCTGAGTTACTTGTCAAGGGTGTGCAGCTTAGCTCACCAAGAAAGAAAGTCGGGCGAGATCCAGACACCCGACTCTGCAGGTCGTGTCTATGAGGACAGAGAGAGTGGCACCTGGGCAGCCACGTTAGGCCCGTGGGTGGGTTAAGAGCTGCCACGTGTCTACTCAGTGACGAGGGCAGAAAGAGGGGAAACTGGCAAACCGGGGGTGGGGGTGTGTGCATGAGCTCAACACACTGGTCAGCACACTTGGGAGGACAAGAGGTTCCAGAGCCTGCACATCCTCCCGCTTCGGCAGGCCCACCCCAGCCCACCCATTCCAGGTCTCTGGCAAGTGCCTACAAAGCTGCCTACGCAGCCCGCTGGCCTACACCCGCCCCCTCCTTAGCTAGAGGGCCCCCAACCTTCAGGACCCTCTGTTTCCTCACTCCCCTTTCCTCCCTCTGAAGTCCTCCCGGCCCCGCCTCACACTGTCCCCTCCAGTCGGAGCTCAGCCCCTCACCTTGGCCATGAGCTCCTCACCTTGGCCACGGAAAGCTTTAGAGACTGAACGCTTCCACCTTCCGAAGTGCCTGGAGTCAGGCCTCAGCATTTGGGCCCTCCCCTGCCTCTATACACCTCAGTCCTTCCATGGAAGAAACTCACAGCCGGGGACCAGATGTGGCCCTGCGTGGCAGAATGACACCATAAATGGCAAAGAGAACAGGCTTCAGTTAGTGAAACTGGAGTTTGCTTCCCTGCTTTATGCTTGTCCTGAAGAACTCGCTTCATCTTTCTCAATCTCAGTTTCATTTACCTGCACAAGGACCTCGCCCATCAGGTACCACGAGCTGTTTACTTATTAAGGCTGTGCAGTGAGGCTGGGTGGGGTCCAGGTCAGACTGGAGCTGGGAATGTGGTGAGGTGTCCTTAGGTGGTCACTGGATTCTTTAGTTTTCCTCTTCCCCACGGAAGGTAACGTCTAGGGTAGAAGGCACTGTGGACATCAGCTAGTTCAACCCCTTCATTTTATAGATGAGGAAACTGAGGCTCAGATTAAAGCCTGTGCCAAAGCAAGCTGATGAGGGATGGTGGGGACAGAGACACATGCACTTACTTCTTCAAGGCCCGGCCAACTAGTCTCGTGTCTGGGGTGGACCTTGGGGACCACTCCTCCAATGCCACTTTCTGGTGCCAGACTCAGGGTAACAGGACCTGCCACTCAGGAAAGAGGCTGGATGCAGACAAGGATTCAGGCACCAACAGCCGGCTGATGCCAAGAAGGGAAGATCAACCAAAGAACCCGTGTCCCGACTATCCCACAAGTTTATTACAAGAATTCAACACAAAAAAAGGTTTTAAAGCATTTGAAGAAAGCCTAAGGGGTGGTTCACCCAATCCCCAGGCTGCCAGAAGGCACCAAACTCATGTACTGGGGCCGGTCTTCTTCCACACTCTCACGCCTGCTGCAGCAGTATCCACGCACCCCAAGGGATTATCTCCTTCCCGTCCTAAAATCTGAAGAGCAACCACAGCCCTCTCAAAATGATCATCTTCATGGCAAGTAATAGCAGATGGTGCCAGGACCACGGTCATGTCCTCTACACAGGCGGAAGAAGTTTGGAGTTGGTGGAGCGGGTACCGGGGGAGAAGTGGGGAATGGATGGGGGATCCTCATAACTCAGTCAAAGAAGATATACGCTGAGGACTACTCTGCTGCTGGAACCAGCTGGACGCACCAAGTTCACCATGGACAAGGAACTTGGCCAAGGTTGTGACCCCATACAGAACATCAGACATGGCTATGTGGCCCTTACAAAGGTCAGGAGCAGACCCAGCCTTCCTAGGGGTCCTGGCCAGCGCCACGCCTGCCTAGGGGAACTGACCAGCTTTTGGCACAACTGCGTCCCTGCCCAGCAAGGCTCTGGGGGCTCCCCGGGCTGCTCTTCTCTTAGGCAAGTCCTGCTGCCTGTCTTCCCTCTAGACAGGCACTGGGGAGGGGAGGTGCGGGGTGGGAGAGGGGTCCAGCTTCCTTCTGCCAAGTCCACCCCACAGGTATCACGTGCTGGCAGGCTTCCTGGGCTTGTCAGGTCTTGGTGGCCAATTGTAAGCCTGACTCCCTCAGGGAGAAGGCTGTGTGTTCTTGGGCTCTCTCCCTCCTGCCAGTGCTGGACCTACAGTGCCTGGGGGCTCCCAACCACCCCTTGATCCCTTCACCTCCTCTACGGGAGGCCCCCTAGTCTCCCTCCCAGCGCCAGGGTCGTAACTCCGCACTGGGGGTGTGGGGAGGGGAAGAGAACAGCAGCTGAGTGGCACAGGAAGTAGAGCCTCCCATCCTCAGCCTTGGGGAGGGGAGTCCCCCTCCGGGTAAGGGCAGGTTCAGAAGGAGCTTCTCAGCCACACTACTGAATCCCACCGT